CCCAAAGAGAGCGAGTGGGAGGAGCAGAGGGGCTAGAGGGCCGGGGTGGCGGGTTCAGGTCCCCTACAGAGCGTGGTTATGAACCCCTGCTCCTGCCTACACTGGGGCTCCCCGTGTCCTCTCCCTCCGTTCCCAAGCTGGCGCGGCCACGTTGCAAACTTCCAAAGCTGGACCTTGCCGAGGCTCTCGGCAGCTGCTCTAGCCTGGGATGCTAACCAGTGGTGCCGTTGCCCTGGTAACCAGCATGTTATCACGACTCACCAGGAAGGAGGCATTTGAGGGAACTAATATCCCTCTTCACCAAGTCGTTTTGCAGCCCACTTTTATCAGCTGCTCACTCTACCAGGCTCTGTATGAACAAATGCTTTACAACACATGTTATCTTACCAGACCCACAACATAATTCTGTGAAATGATCTTTTTATCTCCACTTTCCAAATGCAACTGAGGCCCAGAGAGGTGAAGTGACTTGCCCAAAGTGACACAGCCAGCTGCTGGTGGGGCCAGGATGCAAACACAGGAGGCCTGACTCCAGACCCCTGTTCTCAAAACCACTGCGACACGCACTATACACATCACCAACTTCCTGAGAACCCAAGTAAAATCAACTCAACACCAAGCATCACTTCATCCCTGGTGATCAGAAGGCACCTGGGTATCTCCCAGCCTCCTCGACGGCACTGCAGACCTCGGTAATCATCCCAGAAGCCTTGGGCTCCAGATCTACCCTGTCCGGTACAGTGGCCACTTTGCCGTATGTGAGAATTTAAATTTAGACTAAAAATCAAGCTCCTTAGTTGCACCAGCCACGTTGCGAGCACTCGGCAGCTACACGCGGCTGGTGGCTCCCGTATCGGACAGTGCGGATGGGCCCATTCCCACCACTGCAGTCAGTCAGTTCCTTTGGACAGAGCTTCTGTCACAAATTAGGTTCATACAGATCACACGTTTCCTTTCTGTCTCAATCTCTGCTGTGCCGACGTGGTTTACGTGTGACCCATTGATTTTTGATCATAGCACAGGAAGCACGTGAAAAGCCGCATGCTGGCTACTGAGCTGCCGTGGTGCCTGGACTCCCGTCTGGCGGGCAGGCCGTCCTGCGAACAGCACGTGCCACAAGACCCCGTCCCAGGATACCCCGTCCCTACGACCTACCTAAGTGGCATCGGATGCGAATGTTGGTGGGTCCGTAGTGCTCCGTGATCACGGTGCCGGGGCTCAGCACGGAGATGCACGCGTTCCCAAAAACATTGTTCCCAATACAGGTCCGAAGGCTTCCAAGCAAGCGGTACGTCCGTGGGCACTTCCTGCAGTTCCGGGGGACGCAAACCCCCTGATTGACCAAGTAAAAGGTGATCCACTCCCCGCTGGGGGTGCTGTTCATTTTCCAGCCCTGCGGGAGGCTGCAGTTTGAGAAGGCTTTGTAGAGGGTCTCGAACTCGCACAGGATGGTCTGGAAGTTGCGCTCCAGCAGCTCCACGTCGTGCTTCTGCGCGTCGCGGGCGAAGTAGGGCGTGGTGGGGAGGTCGGGCAGGAAGAAGACCTCGGGCTTCTGGATGGAGGGCCGGCTGCTGAGGTAGCGGCCCTGCTCGCGGACGCCCTTGTGGATGCGGCCCATGCCGGCCCAGGAGTAGCGCTTGGCGTACTCCTGCAGGTTGTGGTACAGCTTCTGGTTGAGGCCGTCACTGTGGCTGCAGCGCATGCACTCGGGGGACTGGCAGTAGGCGAAGCCGTTCTGCAGCCCGCCGGCGTCCGGGCCCTGCATCAGCGCGTTGACGGCCGCGTAGGGCCGCGGCTGCTCCCTGCCCACGTGGTAACAGTACCACACGAACAGAACCAGCAGGCAGGCCACGGTGACCACGGCCGTGGTGTCACAGTCCCGCACGGACTGGATGCCGGTGGCGATGCAGTCCCTCAGGCCGTCCAGCGACCAGCTCCAGGCCACCAGCCACTCAAGCGACATTTTGGGGTGGGGGGATGGCCGATGGGGGTCTGCGGCAAGGTCAGCCAGTCAGTCCTCGGGGATCCTGGCAGCACCCTCACCGTGCAGGTTAGCGCGGGGGGCGAGGGGCGGCTGGGGCAGGGGGAGGCATGGCTGTCTCTCGGGTCCTGCCATTGACAAACGCCTGCGCCCACCACTCCGCTCCCAGTAAAAGTCACTGCGGGCAGGGCCGAAGGAGCTGCCTTGGGTCACATGAGCAAGCAGGGTTGGTCACTGTGAAATGATTTCTCAGGCAGTCCAAACCTGGGATGAAAAAGAAAAGAACCAGCATAAATGTTTACACCTGGAGAAGTCTTCAACTGGAAAAGCCCCAGGTCATTTAGTAAGGCCTTTGTTGGAAGGTGACACACTTCTCAACCCTGTACCTTCTTCCCCGCATTTTACCACCATCCTCATTTCCCGAAAGGCCAGGAGTGTTTAAGCTGCATCAAATACTGTGTGATAATGATAGTCGTTCCATCTATTTTGTGTCATCCTTAGGCGGGACTGTTATCCCTATTTTACAGATGGGGAAACTGAGGCTCAGAGAGGTCCTAAAACTCACCCTAGTTCACACAGCTAGGCAGGGACACAGACCCCATCTCATTTCAAAGCAAAGTCTACCCACTTTGCTATAGTCTTTCCTACTAGGAATGTAATGCTTATTCTCCTTAAAACTCTGCAGCTTTTATTAAAGAGAAATTTGGATTCAAAAGTATCTTAAAGATGGCAAAGGAACTTAAAACTGCACATCCTCCAGTTTACTCTCTCTTTTCACAGCACTTCATTCTCATTTAATCTCTCCTGCCCTTCTGACACAGGTTGGGCTTAAATCAAGCTGGAGAAGGAAGTGGGCTCCCTGGGGCCACACCCATGGCTGACACGGGGCACTTTCTGTCTGCTCGCTTGGGAGTCTACCTACTGGCCTCGTCCGCAGGGTTATGAAAGTGAAATGATGGACGGAATGAAGATAGAAGCCCTTTCTGGTCTCTGACTGTCTCCAGAACAGACAGAAGTGCTTTGCCTCCTATCTTGCTGATGCTTTGGGCCAGTGTCTAGCACTCTGAGTCTCCTAATAACCTAAAACGCGATCAGAGCCCAGCTGTCTCATTGCCTGAGTCTAAAAAACCCCAGCCGTGTTTCCCAGCTGAAACTCTTTGTCCATTCTGCTTTTTTAATCTGATGAGGACAGCCAGGTCTACGTTCTGCTACAAGTGTAATACATCCTCTCACCTCGCCGAGCAGGACAATTCAGAAATTTCCTTTTGCACTGTACCTTCTCTCTTCTCTCTCAGGAATATGAGAAGGCAACTAACAAAACAGGAAAGCTGTACCCTCCCCTTTCACCGGGGACTAAATTTGCCCTGAAAACTCTTGCAACGTAGCAGAGAGATTAAGAACCCACACTGGGCAGGTCACTCCCTTCTCTAAGCCTTGGTTTGCTCATCTGTGAGATGGGGTGATGCTCTTCTTACTGGATGAAGGGGAATGAGTGGATTTAAAGCACTTAATGATCATATCATGGCGATGGTTTGGTGTGTGCCGGCTATGACGCGTGACATCCCATCCCCACTGGCCAGCAGACCAAAGATGGGTCATCAGGAAAAGGTGTCTCAGGATAGAGAATTCCAATGACAAAGGTAAAGCCTGGACTCTCCTGATGCCATACATCTCAAGTGTTTTTTGTTATTTTTTTGTCCCCAGACATGCAGAGCTAAAACCGAAAGGGAAACCTTAGGCGCTCCTTAACTGCCTACTTACATCTTCCCAGCTTAGGTTCAATAAAGAGAATCGCTTGACTATAATATTTAGTAAGTCAAAAACACACATGCTGAATATTCATGGACATTTTTTATGTTTCTAGGAAAAATACAAGAGTGGGGAGGTTAGAAGCAAAAATTTTTTCCTTACATGTTCTCCATTTCTTTGCAGACTGGGGAGGAGAAAGGCTGGGCCCCAAAGGATGGAAACAGACCCCCACCCCCCACCCCAGTGGCTCCAGTTCAGCTGTTTCCTCTTGAGAAAAAGGGAAAGAAAATCTGGATGAAAGGTGTTTTGTTTGCAAGCCATCTCCCAAACAGAACCCCAGGATTCTTGAAATTCAGTGTGAAACTATCATCGGCGTGATTAACAAGCACTTTTACTAAAAGGGTTTTCCCCCATCACTGAGCTAAAGCCCTAATTGGAACTTTGAAACTGAGTTTCCCAGGAGGACAGCTTTTTCTCAAACGTTCTAAGAGTGAGATGATGATAATTTAACAAACACCTGTTAAGTGTTAGGTCCCATCAGCCCTGCTTAAAGTGGAAGTCAGTCAAAATGAAGACCCAGAGGAGCGGGTAGACGAGGAGGGAATCGCTCCATTGGACAATCATTCTGCTTACCCACTCCTCAGGGAAGCCTCATCTCTACAATGCCAGCCATGAACGCTCCCTCAACTGAGCTATAAACCAAAGGCAGCAAAAGATCCTGATGCCCTGAACTCCAGCTTTGGACCCTGCTCACAAGATCACAAACAGCACTGAGAGCTGAAGGAAGGACTTTTCGTACCTGTCACTTTATTTTCAGCCAAACTCTGCTGGCAGGTCCCTGTGTCCAGAGGTGGATTAACAAGCTCACAGCTGAAATGTGGCACTAAATTTAAACCGTTACCTTTGCAAGGTGATTGGCAGTTTAACAAGCACTGGTTCAAACATCTGACCCTCAAAGCGTCCAAAGAGGAGCCCCCAGCCCTCCAGCTGGGAGGGCATGAATTCTGCCCCCTCCACTCCCACCCCCACCCCTTATCTCGGAGACCACAGTTACTTCCTGCTTCCTTTACAGATCCGTTCCATGTCTGTCCTCATTAGGGATGGGGACATCTCATTGCAGCTCTGCACTTTAATAACATGCAACTCCAGCTCTTAAAAGTCAACCAGCTCTGGGGAACAGGGTCTGAATTCATGGCCAATTTTTGGTGAGCAAATTCTATCAGGTATAACTTCTGATACAATGAACACCTTGGGGAACAGACTCATAGCTGTAACCTGATTAATCCAGTTCACATTAGCAGTCCAAGAGGCAGCCAGTGCTAAAGAGCTTCTGGTCGCTTTCAGGGTACCGTATGGCCAGGCCACCTGAGAAGCTTCCCCAAGGGGCAGGGCAGCTCTGGGTAAGGTGTGTGAGGCATGTGCGAAGCCCCCCAGGAGCCTGAGAGCTGCCCCGGGTCCAGCACTCCCCTGGGGGGAACCGGAGACCTTTTCTCCTCACTTTCTTGGCCAGCTTTTCCAGTATCCACCCACTCAGGAGAGTGGGGGAAAGAGGGAGGATACAGGATAGGTTAACACAGATGGTGACCACCAGGAGGTGGGGGTGGGGGATGGAAAGGAGAGTATTGACAGAAAAAGTGGGCGATTAGGGAAGGAGGCTTATGGTGATAACTAATGGGACAGTGGAGGGTCTCCACGCGAAACGGGAAGTGGGTGATAACAGGGATGGGGGAGGGGAGAGCAAGCAAGGGAAAGGACCTAAGAGGATGGCCACCGAGGAGGGTGATGGGGGTACAGGGTGTTAACACAGTGCAGAGGGTCGCGATGGGGCAAAAGGAGGAGAAGGGTGATGCCTGGGCCGGGATCACTGCCGAGGCGGCGGCGCTCAGCACGTAGGG